ATTAAAAATACACAGTCAAAAGTTTGGGGTCAGTAAAAGTTTATTTTTTAAGAAATAAATACTTTAATTCAACAAGATCACATTCAATGAATCAAAAATGACAGTAAAGACCTTTTAAAAAATCTCTGTTCAAAAATAAATGTTATTCTTTTCTGGTTATTAAAGAATCCTGAATAAATAACTGTATTCAACATTGATAATAACAAGAAACATTTCTTGAGTGCCAAATCAGCATATTACAATAATTTCTGAAGGATCATGTGACACTGAAGACTGGAGTAATGATGCTGAAAATTCAGCTTTGTATGGAAGACCGTTTCCGCCACTGAATAAAAAATAAAACAAAGGTTATTGCAACTTTTTATCTCACAATTCTGACTTTTTTTTCACAGAATTGCATGATATACTCACAATTTTGAGTTATAAAGTCAGAATTGCGAGATATAAAGTCACAATTCAGACATTTTTTCACAGAATTGCGTGATATAAAGTCACAATTGCGAGTTATAAAGTCAGAATTGCGTGATATAAACTCACAATTGCGAGTTATAAAGTCAGAATTTTTTTTCTCGCAATTGCGAGATAAAGTCCAATTTTAAGGGGGGAGGGAGACTGATATGTTCTCAGAATTGCGAGTTTATATCTCACAATTCTGACTTAATAATTCGCAATTGCGTGTTATAAAGTTATAATTGCGAGATATAAACTCGCAATTCTGAGAAAAAAAGTCAGTGAGTTTATATCTCGCAGTTCTGACTTTATTTCTCAGAATTGCAATTTTATGTCTTGCAATTGTGAGTTTATATCATGCAATTATGAGAAAAAAAGTCAAAATTGTGAGATAAAAAGTCGCAATTACCTTTTTTATTCTTTATTCAGTGGCGGAAACGGGCTTCCATAGCTTTGCCATCACAGGAATAAATTACATTTTTAAATATATTAAAATAGAAAACAGTTATTTTAAATTGTAACAATATTTCACAATATTACTGTTCTACTGTATTTTTGATCAAATAAACGCAGCCTCAGTGAGCATAAGCTTAATACATAAAAAATGTACTGATCTTTGAACAATATGAATATATCCAGTATAACACACCTCTGTATCATGTTGTGCAGAAACCTGCGATGATTGACTTGTCGTTTTGATGGCTTGTTTTTACGTGGTCTTTGCAAAGTCCTCATCATGTGACCAGCTGCTGAAGTCACAAAAGTAAAAAGATCAAGGCCCCATGGCACTCCAGACTCCAACCCCGGTTCAAAGGTCAAAATACTGGATGGACGCATAGCTTTGGAAATAGAACGAGGACAAAATATAAGCATGACAGAGAGAGATCATATTCAACGTCAGATTGAGTAACTTTTCTAAATTGTCAAAGAATGTCAAAATAGCTTTTCAACATTTTGGTTTGCAATCATGTACCACAAAAACTAAAGGAGCAGAACTACTCCAACACTGCATTAAAACAAGATTTAGATCTCTAAAACCTGATGGTAACCAAATTAAATCTTTCTATATGAAAGCCCAACTTACCTTCTGTTGCTCAATAAGAATCCACTTTGAAATGATGTGCACAGAGAAGCAAAAGGCTTTGCACAGGTTATGTACCCTGACTGACCAAGAAACCGAGAGAGACGGATAGAGAGAGAGCGAATGATGAGGGGAGCGTGGCATCGATTCATTGATGATGCCACAGAATGAGTGATTCTTTGTCTGCTTAGAGAAAGGATGGCTAGACAGCAGCATTAAAGAGGACAGAGAAGTGCAGCGAAATAAAAAGAAAAGCAATTACCTAGAAGTCAACTGGTTTGGGCTGTGTGCTCTCTTTAAGCATTGTCAAAAACTGCGCTTGTTAAGTGTTAGCGCACCGTTTAAGCACTTAATGGGCCTTTCATTGATCTCTTTAATCTCGGATCCTCATTAACACATTCTCCTGTCTGAGAGCTCTGCTGGTTGCCACAGACAAATTGCCTTCACTTTTCAGCTCTCAGACAAAAGGTTGTTTTTACATATCTATGGGGGCATTCAACATAATGGAACGAGGTCCAGAGGACAGGAAATATGACGATTCATAGCAGCAGATACATATTCATTTTAACTGTGCATGCTTAATTTATGACGCCAAAGAAAATGGAATATTCTATACCCACATATAGCATTTATATTTGAAATTAGATTCATTTTTAAAGGGATAGTTCATTTAAAAGGAAAGAATTCTGCTGTGATGTATGCATGTTCTCTGTTGGACAATTGTTAATTGACAAATTAAACTAGTGCCAAATATGTCCATAGTGAAAAATGGGATAGTTCACCCCTAAAAATGAGAATTTTGTCATCATTTACTCACCATTATGTTACAAACCTGTTTGGAAGAGACGTTCTTTCTTCTATGGAACTTTTTTTTTTTAAGTCATGAGAATGACACCAAAGTGTAGTTTTATTCACATCTGAAATTATGCATCATGTTTGATAGCATTCAGTTGTGGAAACAGTATTTATACACACAATTAAACATTTTTCACATCTGCATAATTTGACAAAATTACAGCTTCATTGAAAAAAATGCATAATAATAGCATATATTACTATTATATTCATTTTCCTGTTTCCTTCACACAAAATACCTTCAGAAAATCACAAAGGTATTTCTGTTCATTTTAATAAAGATGAGATAACATAAAAGTTTAAGAAACACCAAGCTGTGTTATTTTAATTTATATACTATATATTTATTCACATTTTAAATTAGTTTTTATTCTTATATTTTCAGTTTTCATTTTAATTTAAATTTTAGTCAGTTGTTTTATGTTATTTTTATTAGTTTGCTTAATATTTCTATTATTATATTATTTCTAAGTTATAGCAATTTTAGTACTTTAGCTTATTTTATTTTAGTTAGTTAAAAAGGCAGCATTTCTAATATTCATTTACATTTTTTTAAGTTTTTTAAGTTTTTCCTCTAATGCATCTTTTATTTCTGCTTTATTTGAAATAATAAATGATTTTCAGTAGTTTTAGTTAATAACACCCAGATGGTAAATTGGTAATATCATCTTGTTTGAATGTAGTTTATATTAATCATTCTTGGTCCATTATCATTCAGCACTATGGTAACATTTGCAGTGGTCTGTGGACAGGAGATTCTTCACTATATTTAGTACAACTACACACACACACACACACACACGTGTCAGCTCATGTTCTCTCTCGGTTTTGAAGATCCTCAGCTTTCAGCCTGGTGTTACAATGTCCTTCTCTCAAGTTTAACATTGGCGAGTTTCATACTTCATATTGTGCATCTGATTTCTGCATTTAATTTTGTATGATTATCATGCATTAGCAGATAATTAGCTTAATGCCTTTCCCTTTTCTAACTTACATTCCCTGGTTCTCACCATGTGTTCTTTTCTCACATTCTTTCACTGACTGATAAACGTTATCATAAACACTAATTCTTGCTACTAGAACTTTGTACCACAGAACAAACAGGTCCGATTGGTCTATGTTTGACCAATCAGTCTGCTTGGTTTACAAGAATCAGTCAGAGGGATCCAACAAAGTGAACCTTGTGATTTGTCATTCATTCTGAAACAGGACAGCTACATGGTGAGTTACTGTAAGCAGTGTGTTTTCTATCTATCTATCTATCTATCTATCTTTGTCATTTGTAAACATAAAAAAACCTCACATTCAGATGAAATGACTTTTAGATCCGACCAAACCGAGGTGCATATTTCAGTGCAATAACATATTTATTATCCTTGTTTAGTGGTCATCATGAACAGAGCATGGGTTTTGTTCAAATCCCATCCATACATCTCCAATGTGGTGGGATACACGACGCTTTTTGCCACAGCAGACCTCATTCAGCAAAGCATGGTGGGAAAAGCTCAGGACAAAGGGACAGTTCACAAACTGGATCGAGTGGGACAAGATCCCTCCAACACTTCCATTGAGGAATTTACTGTGGCTGGAGAAGCAAAGACAGATGATGATAGCAAAATAAGGGACTCAGAAGGAAATAAAAAAGCATCAGCTCCAGTACATGCTCCACAGCTTCACAGCATCAACTGGGCCCAGACTGCTCGGGTGGCACTGGTTGGGTTCTGTTTTCATGCCAACTTCAATTACCATTGGCTTCGTGGACTGGAGAGGATGTTTCCAGGAGGAGGGATCAGAAGAGTGTCACTTAAAGTGTTTCTGGACCAGCTATTTGCAGCTCCTATGACAATAAGTGCTTTCTACATTGGTGAGAACCAGGGGATTTTCATCATACTTCCACTTCTACTTTCATAATTGAACGAAATCAACGCATAAATATCTGTGCATATGAATTCATAGTTGGAAATGTTTTACTACAAGTGTTTATTACACTTCTAAAGGGCTGAGCACATTGGAGGGCGCAGAGGATCCCCTTGAAGACTGGAGAACTAAATTTTGGACCTCTTATAAGGTAACCAAAAGGAACACAGGAAGAACACTAGAACTATTCAACATAAATGTAAATATTAAAGGTTCAGGATCAATTCTGACACACTGATTTACTTTTTTTCCTCTCTCTCTCCGGTAGACTGGAGTAGTGTATTGGTCAACAATGCAGGTACTGTTAGTCCATCCATTTGTTCATATACTTCTGTTCATCTGTTTCTAAGAAGTTTCCTAATTTTCTCCCTAAAATGATATTCTTCATGTCTCAGGCTGTGAACTTCTCACTGATCCCGCCGGTGGCTCGTACTGTTTTTGTTGGAGTAGTCGCTCTTGGCTGGACTGTCTTCTTGTGTCATTTCAAGCAACAGAAGAGTGACTTCCTGACTTAGGCTTTATTCTGCAGCTGCTTGGCTTTGAATTTAGCCAAAACATGGACTGTTCTTTAATCAACATATGCAACATACAATGCATATATGCAACTATGTACATATTGCATATAAGGGATGCAATAAATCTGGCTGATGTTTTAAACAACATGCAATCTGAGCAAATAATTTAGCTTGTTCTATTGGACTGGATTATTTCTTACCCCCGAAATGGTGGTAGTGAAAGATATTTACTTCCATACTGTGACAAAAATTAGAGTAAAACGGGTTATCAAAAAAGAAAAAAATGTGGACTTGGTGCATTGGTTGTTGATTTTGATATGTGGGAAGTATACAGATGAATCATTCACAAAAATAACTAAAACCAGAGTTTAGAAAATAGTTTGGGTGAATTTTCATTTCATGCTGATTTAATTTTATTCATGATTCATGCTTAAGAGAGAGATTTTATAGATTTATTGAAATAAAACAACAGGTTATAGATATGAAGGGGGAACTACAATGATATTATTATTATTGCATTTATTAATTTATATAGCCTAGTTATTTATATAAAATATATAATATTTATTTATCAGGGACAATAGACATTAATTATAATATATATACCGGTACACAACGAAACACACGGCAACAACAATACTACAGCGAGAATAAAAGTTACGCCTTCTTTCTTTGCGTGAACATTTGGGTGGCGTTATGCAAATATTCCCACATCGTGACGTAGACGTGGGGGCGTGTTAGAACGAGCCGTTTTAGGTAGGTGTGGCTGACTCTGAACTTTTATAAAGAATATCTCTTTGGATTTGAGACTTTAGTCTTTGCAACTTTGCAGATCTTCTTTGTGCACCAAGAGCTTGCAACACTCCAAAAAGAGAAAGGAATATTTGAAATGGCATCATATGACCCCTTTAAAAGTAAAAATGTTTATTTTTGTAATTTTAGCCTACCAGCCACTAAGATTTCCTGAAAACACCTGCAAATTTCATTTCCCTTCAAAACATTAAAGATTACACTAAAGACGTATTCATTATTAACCTCGCAGTCGCCCTCGTTTAGACTTTATGTAGCCAAGATAGAGACCGCGCTGGTGTGAGTATTTGCCTTACATTTTAATCTATTTGTTTGGTTAAACGCGCTTTAGAATGACTTTTAATAAATAGTATACTTAACAATGTTGAAGTGTGTTATCTCTGTATGACAAACCTTGCTGTAACCATCCATACCAGCAGCAAGCGCACGATTTTTCAATGACAGGAAGCCTGCACCATTCCGGACGCACCTTTCCTATCACATGACTCATGGCGTTCCGTAATCTCGCTATACGTCCTCTCGCGAGCTTTCCTTTTCCCTTTTCACTCTGAGTCCAAGATGGTAGGTAGCTTGATTTCTTATGGAATATACCAGTGTCCAAAATCTACCTCCATCCTCAGCTGTATCTCTTCTAATTCTGCCGCAGATGATGTTTAGAAGCATAACATAGTGCTACAAGTCAAAAAAATATGTGTATTGTAGTGTATTGTGTGTGGATTTAATAAGTAAACGTCGGCTAGCGCACATCGGGCCGCGAAGCAGAGATTCCCATTCATGTGTCGTGTGTTAAAATACTTACAGATGTCTAACGACAACGTGTCATTGTCTTATTAAGATTTTGTGTACCCAGATATAACATGTTTGCTGATTTTTCATTTAAGTTGCCTAGACGCTAAATCAAACTCGTGTTGGCTAAGCCTATTCTGTTGATGCGGTTCTCTTAGCCACGTGAGTTACAATGTATTTGAGACAAATGTATTAATATGAGTGTTATGAAGTTATCTTCATTTCACGTTGGTTTTGTAGTTATTATAGCTATAGTTATTATATATATTGTATTATTATCAAATATGCATCATTGTGGCTAGTTAATATTTAAGTTCTTTGCTAGTGTAATCTATTGAGAACGTGCTAAATCTGACACTGCTCCACGTTTTATATAATGATTCTTTTTATTTGTGTGTAATTGATTATTGTGTTTGAATCTAAAAGGGAGTTGACATCAGACACAACAAGGACCGTAAGGTTCACAGGAAGGAGCCCAAAAGTCAGGATATTTACCTGAGGCTCTTGGTCAAGGTAAGAACCATAATGAAACTTAAGGGCTGATTGCATAAGTTGTCTGTTTGTTGCTTTAATTTTATACCAATGCATTTTTGTTGTTGTATTGTAGTTGTACAGATTCCTGTCTCGCCGTTCTGATGCTCCCTTCAACAAGGTCATTCTGAGAAGACTCTTCATGAGCAAGACCAACCGCCCCCCTCTGGCCTTGTCCCGACTGGTGAGTTTGAGCCCCAGTTTTTCTCCTGAATATGCACATCTCATTTACGTTTGCCCTGTTGTGTTAGGCCTTGTCACTTGAGTAAACATTCTGTTATGTTCAAAAAGATGAACACGTATTTTTATTTATTTTTTTGCTTCTAGATCCGTCAGATGAAGCTTCAAGGCCGTGAAAACCTGACTGCTGTTGTTGTGGGAACTATTACTGATGACGTCAGGATTCAGAAAATCCCTAAACTGAAGGTAAGACGAGACAATGAAAATCATACAACAT